CCTGTTAACAAATTCGTTTTTCTTAATTTTTTTTTTTGCTTAAAAACATACCATATTTTCTTCAGGAACACTCTTTTGTACTACTCAGCAGAACAAAATGAAATAATGAGAGGAAGTATAGTGCAAAGCTTAACTTGTAAACTGCACCTCCTGTGGATTTTAATCAAGTTTTCCTAAAGGTTTATGCAAACTGCAGACAACCATCCTTGGCAGGTTCTGAGATTACACATATAATCGATTTGTCATTCACAGTTCTGATACGTTCAAAGTTTATCAAAGTGTTGTTTTGAAGTCGAGTGCTTCAGTTTGATGCTAAGAAAAATATTTTCTGCTGGACAACCTTTTATTAAATGTACTGTAGTTATACCAGAGTACTTGAACACAGAATACTTTTCTCAAGCACCAGGGAGAAAATAAAATAAATGTATTATTATATCTTGCTGAGTAGTTACTTTTGTTTTAATTAAAAAAAAAAGATTAATATAGTAGGACGCTATAATTAAAACACTTTAGCCGTTATATTTTTCACTGACATTGTATTTGAAAAACAGAATGTAACAATTTGTATACAAACAGTAGCTTAGGCTGTTAACATAAAAATGTTTCAACTAAGGGGCTTATGCTGCAGCCAAGAACAGTTAAGAAGTACTTTAAAGTACCCTCTCGATATACAGCTGTATTCTGTAGCACTTACAAATTTAACATCACTGTTTCATTTTTGAGAATGATGAGGCCACTTTTGTGTTGACGGTATCCTTGGAAACCAATGATTAATAGCATTACGCACTTTTAACATGATTTTAACAAAATGTGTGTGCATCGTAGAAAAAATGTTTGCTGTCTTTTATAATTTTTTTCACCCCGCTCATAAAAGGAGCCCAGACGCTTATCTGTTTCACTCTGTACAGTTGTGATAGCGAATGCTTGCGTCCTCTACAAAACGTTTGAGCTCCCAAATGTTGTTTTACACACAGATGTTCATAATGACTGAAACGGTTATTTTGAGAAAAAAAACGTTTATACTATGCTAAAGAAAAAGCGCATGTTTTCCAATAATTTATGTCCTCCAACTATACTGATTTAGAATCCTTCAAGACCCTATTTGATTGTCTCTAGTAGATGGAATATGTGCCCAGTTTTATTTCCCTCCTGTATATCCAACTCAACAGGTAACATTGTACCACTGCCTTCTTTAGGCCTTTCTGTTGTGTGTCAATCAAATTTAAGTCAAGAACAGACATTTTGCTGTTTTATTTGGAAAATGTAACTTATTTTTGCCATGTGTTTAGGACTGTTGTCATGTTGGAATGCGAAATTCCACATATCCAACATAGAAGCAGATTGCTTCTCTTTTGAAATTCGTCTGTGTTTAAGTAATCTTCAACAAAGCATGCATCCCCCAACCCTGCCCTGCTAAAGCATGACCAAATCACGAAGAAATCACCTCCTAGCTTGACAGTAGGCACAAAACATTTTTTTCTTCAAAGGCTTTGCACATTATCCTCCAAACATATTGCAATCCTTTGCATGGAAAAGAAATAACTGTCTTGGTTTCATCGGACCAAACAAAGCTGTCAAAAAAGCTTGCGGTTTATCAAAGTATTGTTTTGCAAATCTAAACTTGCTGGTCCTATGGAATATCTTCATGCTGGTTTTTGGCCAGGCCTGCATTCACAAGACCGTTCATATTTCATGTAATTGCTCATTGTTTTGTCACACTGTAAAATTCCACAATCATCCAGTTCGTTCTAAAAAATGTGTTGGGGTCCTTTTGTTTTGACCTCCTGAGTAGATCTTCTTGTGCTGGCTGTAAGCAATAATCTTCACAGAGAATCTACGTACATCTACAGAGAGGATTAAAAAGATGAAAGCAAGCAGTAGTCCCGGATCACAAGTGCTGTGACAGGGATGAGTGTCTGCTGCTGTCCTGTATTACACTACAGTACGTGTTCTGTCCTTCTGTCCGGTGCTCGGGTTCTGTCTGTTTTGTCCTCACCATCCTCCACATTCAACAGCAGCTTTGAAAACAAGCTTTTCACAGCTCTTTTCTTACATTCAGTTTTCTTCCAGGTAAGAATGTATTCCTTTGTAAGCGTTGTTTCCTCATTGGCAACAAGAATTGTAGAATTAATTGATTCAATTAATAGAATTGGAGCTCATATGGAAAGAACTGCAAATGTTGTTGTTTTTTTCTTGGATTGAATCTAAATTTGATTGTCACCTTTTTTGGGTCCCTTTCATTTTTTTTTATTAAAAGTTGCATGAATTATCTTTAAGGTCAGAATCTTACATTTTAAATAATAAGTTAAAGTATCATTTTAATGACTGGTGTTTAATTATGGTGTATGTATATATACCTTGTACAAAACAACAGTACCAATGTGCAGCTGGAATTAACTGTTTATTATTATTAGTATTAATATTAGTATTAGAATAAAAAAGAAGAAAACAAGTCTTTAGTCCTAATGCATTTGGAGAAAAAATCTAAATATCTGTTTTAGTCTTAGATGAAAGTGTTATACGAAAAGTATTTTTGGACTCCTTTTTATAAGACAAAAGGTATATAAGGATACTTCACTCTTCACTGAACAATGTCACAAACAGTACTGAGCATACTGGTACTGGGGACTCCCCTTTACCTGTAAAGCGCTTTGATTAGAGTGTCCAGAAAAGTGCTATATAAGTGCAAGCAATTATTATTAGTATTACAGGGGTCCAGCAACTATATATTATAGTGTAAATACATAATTGTGTGCATGTTAAATGAATAATTAAACAGTGAGTACTGTGAGGATTTATTATTTCCATATTTATTGCTTAGACAGATCTTTAAAATGGTGCAAGATGTATGGTACTGGCAGCATTTTGATTTTGTCTTAATGTTCCAGATGAGTTTTCCGTTGTTCCAATTTTCCATGACTGAAGATTTTGTTTTATAAAACTACAAAAGCACATAAATTAAATTCAAATGCACACCAGAATACAGCTGCATAACACTGACATTTACCGAGGTAGCTAGCTTGGAAGCAGTCCATATTTGATTCAAATTAGAGCGCTGGAAAAAAAATCAAATTACCAGAAAAGAGACTCTTCAATAAAAGCATGACTTTAATCACTATGGGACATAGCATCTTTCATTAATAACCATAGGGGCTAGTCTCAGTCCGGTGCAAAATAGTGATTTTAGGCATTGGAGAATACCGTAATGTGTCCACACTCATGTGCTATTTCATTTTTTTGTAAGGGTTGAATTGCTTTTTTTGCAATGTTATGAAGCTCAAACCCTCACACTTAAATTAAGTCTCTAACAATATATATGAATATATATAGGCTACTTGATGCTTTTTCAAATGGGTAAGCCTCAACAGTATGAAACAAATTTAAGAAATCAAGCTGTTTAGTTACGTTCAGAATAAGAATGTTATACAAAGGTAGCAAATACATTTGGTCTTTTTTCAGAAGAGCAATTAGCTGTTGTTAACTAGATGCAAACGTGTACAACCAGTACCCTTTTCAATCTAGGAGCATGGACCAACTAATATATCCATACCAACAGGAAAGATTAATTGCTCAGGAGGTTCACAAAAACTCTAGATGACAAATTCTAAGATAACTTCAAAGAAAGCAGAAGATCGACTCATTAGTGAACAATACAAAAGATAAGTGCTTTAATGGATACAGGCCAAAGTGCAGGCACTTCTCAACAAAATATGCGAAACCTGGCACATCCAGTGTTTCAAAATGTAAACAGACAAGTCCTGTACAGTCTTTGACAGCATCATCTGATCCAGTGAGTCAAAAATGGAATTGTTTCCAAAGCAGGGGACCAAAGTTCATTCGGAGAGAGAGTGAGGCCCATAACTAAAGTGCTTCATACCAGCTGTCAATATGGTTGAAGGGTCCATGGTGATGCAGAGCTGTGTTTCTTTCTGGCAGAGCTTGTATGAATGAGGGAATCTTAAAAGCAGACAACAGGCATTTACTATTTAATGAAGGAATCCCTCGTCGTCATGGCCTTATTAAACACACCTGTTTATCACTGAGTATCGCTGCACTTCCATTTTTATCCTTTAAATTGTTGTTGATTTGACTTAAGTAATTGTTTGTGGGAAGCAAAGTTTTATGAAAGCAGTAAAAGATAAGCTTGATTATTGTTTGAGATAATTTCCCTTTAAATTGCTTGTTTATTTTTCCTACGGAGAAGACTACATTTTAAAAATGAGGAGTTCAATGCAGTCATCTCATTCATGACTTGCATGCTGATTATTTCACTCATTTGTAAAAACGGGGAAACTGGCTGCTTTTGGTTCAGTATTTTAAACACGTTAATCGAGACTTGTTAGTGCCCTCTTCTGGTTTTCTGTTAAATACAGTATATGGTGTAGATCGGAAATGATAAGGAGGTACTTACCAGGAATTTTTTGATAAAATAGAAAAATGTGTCCTTGATAATTTTATGTTCATGATTTCAGGTGTTCACAGTTCAAAAGCTACGGCAGATCTGTGACCCTAGACAGGACTCTGTCAAGGAAAGTGGTTTTTTTTTTTCATAAGGAAATAGCCTGCAAAACTAACACTTCATTGCTGAGGAAGAAACAAATAATACATGTTCGGACTCTTATGAAATCAATTTACAAAACTATTTTCAAACTACAGATGATCACAGTAAAAATCTGTATCAGTTTTTTTTGTTTGCCTGTTGGATTTTGTTTTGCCACCACAAGCCTGTCTGTGAAACAGTTAAGGGTGTTTTTCCAATTACCTTAATAGTCTTGGTTTAATTGAATCCAACTGTTAAACCAATGACTGGACTGAAACATTTTCATTTCATGGCAGACATGAAATCATATTACATTATTCAGTTTCATATTATAAATAACACTGAAATTGTGCTTACAGGGTAATACAGCGATGTGATAACTTATAGAACACGTTTATTTTTCTGTTTAATGTCACGATTACGTGTCTCTGATAAATCTATTTTCACAATGATCCAACAGCTTCTGTCTTTCTATGAAGCCAACAATGGTGTCTTTCGGATTCACCTGAAGAGCTTCATGAGGCACAGGATTTTCATGTTGTGAAATCTCCCAACTATGGTTGCTTGGCGAAAACAAACTTGCTGCCTGCTGAAGATGTCTACATTCTGACCTACAGCTGATCAAACATTTCTACAGGTGAGAAATAAGGTTATCTTTCATCTGTTCATGCAGACCTTCAGACTCACGGCACACAGCTCATATCCACTGACAGTAGATGCAAGTCTTATAAAAGTTAACTAACCAATATGAGCAAAGACGAGACTGTGTGCAGTGGAAACTGTCCTGGTTTTCCTTGGTAATGTGGCAGTGCCACAACTGCCTTTTTGCACGTGTCACAACATCTTCAGAGCAAAACCGACAAGTTCTGACAGGATCTGTCCCAGCCAGGCCCAGAAGGCAAAATGCATTTGTAACAAAGAGCAGATGATGGTGCCATGCTTGAGCACTGTTCCTGGCCATACAAGAGTTCAAGGGCACGTATGGACAATGATCGTCACATGCATCTCTTTTCTTGGCCCTCACATTGGCAATACGAACACAGAATGAATGAAATCTAAGATGACATCTTTGCCCATATAAGCTCCAAGAAGGCTGCATACAGTATGTGTTTCTGTTTATTGCCACTTAGCCCTTTTCAGGTAGTGAAGTACAGACTTTGACTCAGGCATTAAACAACCTTTTCTGTTTTATTCTGTTTTTTGTTGTTTAAAGTCACTTTTCATTCACAACAGATGAGTCCATCTGTTCAACCAAAGTGAAATTTTTGAGTAGCAAGGAATACAAAACAATATGGAAACCTATCCTGTACTGGGAATCCGATGGGTAATGAAGTCATATTTTTCCTAGTTTAATGCTTTAACTTTACTCTGAGACTAAAAAAAGATAAAAATCAACCTATTTTGTGGGTTGGTACTGGGATGTACAGAACTGATATCATGTAACTTTTTGATCTGTTTTCCATGATACTGTATGTGTTTAGAGATGAGAAATATGAAATATATCAGACAGTGCTCAGCCTGGTTTCTCCACTGCGGTTTGATGTTTGTATATGGTAGGATACAGCAATAGTTTTCAATAGTTTTCAGAACCACTGAAATAAACAATAAACCCACTATACACGTAGCTTCCTAGCCAACAGCTAGTATGATCCAGTCAGTTGCTTATACGAGCCTAGATGCACGGTACATATGAAGAACTGCACATATCATTATTAATACTGTGTAATACTAAAGTTGTTTATATTGTATTGAATAATAAGAGAAAATTAGTAATAGTAGTAGTCAGATCTGTTTGTTCCCAGTCCATGCCATTCTTCTCTTCTCTCCCCATGTTAAAGGTGGGATCACTGAAAATTTCATTATCACCTACCACAGGGCATGTTTCTCATTATTCTTGTCACTGAGACAAGCAAGTCATGAACTTATTGACTAGATGAATTCCTTTCTGAGATCTACTGCTCAGTTGTGGGTAGAAGGAAAAAAGCTGACTGGATTTTATAGGGAGCATAACCCTTTTTAATTCAAAAGGCATGTGGAGAATCATTTCTTACCTTTGTTCTTTGTGATAATGGTCACTACTACAAGTCAGTTACCTTCCTAATATGCAGATGTCACACTTTCTTCAGGACAAAGTGAAGACAGGAGGAGGTTTCAACAGCAGTTGTGACATTGTTCACTCCCGAAAACAGTGAATGTGATTTTTTAAGTTGTATCTTATTTTTTAAAACATTTTTTGGCAACAGGTATGTGCAGTTTAAACAAGTAGCCTAGAAAGATGAAGATATGGGCACTTCATGAAGCTGAGTTACATGAACTTATAAAAGACCATGCTTTATTGTACAAAATTAATGCTGCTCATTAATCCGTTTGTTCTCCACAGTGTGGAGTTCCTGATTTTGTGCTTGTCAGACTTGGGGTTTTGCTTGTCACTTGCAAATCTTTGTGTCTGTGCATGATTGTTAGTGCTCTCCAAGAGTGAAAGAACCTTTAATGCGCACAGTTAATAATACAATTTTCTGTGCCAAATTCTTTCCATGGGGAGAGTACAATTGTGCTAGTGTTCTACACACATCGTTCTTGGAATGAGCATCTTAGGAAATATTGTCATGCAAGTGCTTAAGCTTCTTGTTAGCTTTTAGACTTTTAATATTTTATTTTAAAGTCTTAAAAATGCCTTTTTCCTACTAATCCCCTCATAAAAGGATCCTTCATCCTTGCAATCACTTCCAGAATTTATTGCGCGGTTGTTTTGATCTCTCTGCATTTTATCTCCTTGTAACACAATAGTTTTGCTTTCATTTTGGATTGCTGACACCAAAAGAAACTCCTTCTAGGTAGCTTTTTAATACTCAGCAGTAAATCAGCACATGAAATCAGACCTTCAGTTCATGCTGAAGTGGTTCTTTTTTTTTTATCCAAACCTGGAACAATGCTTGTGACTGATCTATCTTTTCACATTCTGCAGCAAATAATTTTTACGTCAATACCTGTAAACTTGTGTGTTTGTCTCTTTATTTATATGTATAGCAGGAACTGAAAATGGAAGGGGGGTACTGTTATTTAACTATGGCAAGGAACAAGAGGTACAAAGAGAAAATATAAACATGTCTTTGGTACTTCAATGCCTTTCCAATGAAGCCCAGACATTGCTGTGTTTCATACATTGCTTGGTAGGTCAGTAGTGACCAGCCCTGACCCTGTGTCTCCTGGAGTTTGCTCCAGCCAGGTCCTTAATCAAGGGCTAATTAACTCCAGTTTCCTGGGATTCTAGGAGAGTTCCTAGTCCGTCTCCACCTGGAGCCTGTCTTGGAAAGGGGAATCCATAGACGGGACACCATGACACAGTCGTGGAGAACAGGACAGATTCGAGTAGCGATGGAGATATTCTATTACACAGAAACAGATCTGTTTTGTGCACTTTAAAATGCTGCTGTTTTTACGTGAAGTACAGTTGATTTTCTTTTTTACAACTTACAGCATTGAAATGCCTGTTTGAGACTTCCAAATCAAATACCCGCCTATTATTCATGACCGTTTCAGGGAACAAGTCTTCGCAGCAGCAAATAAATACTTATGTTTGAAGTGAAATTATTCTATTTAACTCTTCTTATGGGAACTCAGACTGTTAGAAACATCCTTTAAATCTCATTAAAACTTTAAAGTAGAAGAAAAAGAAAAGGGAGAAAAAAGGGACACAAAAGAAAGATGTGTGTACTTTAATTCTTACCCGTTTAAAAACCGGGACAATGATAAAAGCGCGCTTGGGTTTTAAGATACGAACGGCAGGTGGCACCATAATCACCATTTAAAAGCCTGGAGTAATAATATGCAAAACTGAACCTTCACAAACGATTCATTAAAAAACAAACTTTGACAGATGTTATTTTCATTCTATTTTTTTAATGCATTGCTTTGTCAGAATATCAGACCACTAAATTAGTGACTACTGAAACGACTTGTTACTAAATTTATGTCGAGAACCAAGGTCATTCTTGGTTCTGGGGATCGGTTTAACAAATTCATTGACAAGCAATGTTTCCCCCCCAGCACAAGAAAATAAACAATAAACGTATCTGGATTTTTTTTTTGCACTATTTATATATATCAATCAATACTTAATGCACGTGTGTAGTGCTTTTCATCTCAAATCTGCCTACGTTCTTCTTAAGTTTGATGATGATAATAATAATAATAATAATAATAATAATAATAATAATAATAATAATAATAATAATTTGATGATAATAATAATTGCTTACACTTCTATAGCGCTTTTCTGGACACTCCACTCAAAGCGCTTTACAGGTAATGGGGACCCCTCCACCACCATCAGTGTGCAGCCCCACCTGGATGATTCAACAGCAGAAAGCTCACCACACCAGGAGGAGAGCAGAGTGATGAAGCCAATCCATAGATGGGGATTATTAGGAGGCCAGGATTGGGGCAGGCGAATGGGACATGTGGCCAGGTCACCGAGGTAACACCCTCTACTCTTTTCGAGAAACGCCCTGGGGTTTTTTGTAATGACCACAGAGAGTCAGGACCTCGGTTTTACATCTCATCAGAAGGACGGCGCCTTTTTACAGTATAGTGTTACCATCACTATACTGGGGTATGAAGGACCCACACAGACAGCAGGGTGTTCACACCTGCTTAGCTTCGGTGGGTTGTTAGTTGTGAGCTGCGGAGTGATATGACTGCCGGCACAACTAGGAAATTCTGAATTTAATTTGATTTATAATTTGGAACTGAATTTAAACTTTATTTCGAATTTTGAAAAGTTATGGAAACCAGTCAAAGTGGAATTAAGTCAAGACACGGGGGGGACACCCTTACTCTTGCAAACAGTGTCTTCCAGGTGATCTTTAACGACCAGGTAAGCAAGACCTCAGTTTAACATCTCAGCCAAAACACGTCACCGTGCGACAGAGTAGGATTGAAAATTCAGATGAAAGAGCGCCATCTACTGGTTTCACAACACCACAACCACACCGTTGCAATCTTCATTTTCCTTACAGGTCGTACAGGGCATTCCCAACCTGGTCATGCTGCTGTCAAATTATTGGGTTGTGTTTATTACGAGAGAACAAGGACTTTTTGAGAGGTTGCAGGAGTGGTGCTAAAAGGCACCAACTTCGAAAACTGGACGGTAGTTTTATTTATTTTTCTAAATTACATGAAATGTTATGTACAAGGTCTATATTTTTAACTTTGTTACTTTATAACAACTTTGTTAATGTGTGTTTTATTTTCTTTACCTATACAGAAATATAAAACTATTTGTGGAATGTACCAGAAAAAAAAACAAACAAACAATGCAGCGCTTTTAAAAAAGCGGTTGTTATCAAATAGATTTATTTAACGTCTTCACAGCATAAGCCTATTAAAAACGTTGTGACGGCCGTGTGTTCTTGCCGCTTTTGGAGTATGCCAACACCAGATGGCGCCAGAGAGATTAAATACTGTACATGGACTATAACTAAGACTGGCCAACGTAAATACTACAACAGAAATGACCATGACATTATCTGGCATTTTAGGAACTGCTGGCACACCAAGTGGAAAGCAATGCATAATCAGAACGGTATGAAGGCAGTCTGAACCTTGATTTCGCTCTGATTCTACTACAGAGGTGTTCATTATTTAAGAGGATCGTTGCAGAAGGCCAATTAATTTTCTGACAAAACCCCACTGTAACACATAACATTTTATTTTTAAACCTAATTCTGTGTTAAATTTAAAAAAGTCAAAAGATTAAATTCTCATTTTACAACTAGAGTTTGAGTGTACCCATTTACACCACACATCTTTTAGTTTTATAGCAGAGCAGTTTGAGGGAAGGAACAGCATCCATATCACTTTGCAACTCACCAGTGGCAGCCCACTGGAGCTCAGCAGGTGTGGGCCTGGCCAGTACCTGGATTGGGAGGCCTTTTGGGGAAAAAACTAAGGTTGCTGCTGGAAGAGGTGTTAGTGGGACCAGTAGGGGGCGCTCATTCTGCTGTGCGTGTGGATCCTAATGCCCCAGTATAGTGAAGTGGACACTATACTGTAAAATGTGCCATCCTTTGGATGAGATGTAAAACTGAGGTCCTGACTCTTTGTGGTCATTAAAAATCCCAGGGTGTTTCTCAAAAAGAGTAGGGGTGTTACCCTGGTGTCCTGACTGAATTTCCCATTCACCTGTACCGATCATGGCCTCCTAACAATGCCCATCTGTGAACTGGCTTCATCACTCTGCTCTCCTCCCCACTGAGAGCTGGTGTGTGGGGAGGATACTAGTGCATCATCCAGGTGGGGCTGCACACTGGTGGTGGTGGAGGGGATCCCCATTACCTGTAAAGAGCTTTGAGTGGAGTGTCCAGAAAAGCGCTATATAAGTGTAAGCAGTTATTATTATTACAAGTAAAGGTTAGATCTATGCTGAAAGGCTGAAAATAGAAACAACGGTCCAGCTTTTGAGCTTCTTCCATTGCCACCTGAACACTGATCCCTGAAGGAGGTTATACAGAAAGATGAACCACTGCTTCTATTTCAATTTTTCAGCACAGAACTAACCTTTACTTGTTCCTTCACTCAAACTGCTCAATTAAAAGCCCAGCTGCATAAATGGGTACACTCCAGCTCTAGTTGTAAAATGCAATAACTGTTACTTTTGTCAATTTTTGCAGGGTGTGTTGCAATAACTCTTCAACATTCACACACTTGAAGAATATCCTCAGATCAGTTAGCTAATATCGTGGGTATACATGCCAAATGGCCTCCTCATTTAACTTTCCTTATGTTCACTCAAGTTGTAACAAGAAACAAAGTAATGATAGGTCCCCAAAACAATCTTTATTACACCATCTCATAAAAAAACAATACTTGAAAACCAAAACAGAGTCAGCTTCCCAACTGAGCATGAAGAGAATAGGCCATATTCAATATATTTTGTGTTTATATCTAGTGTTCCTTCTTAAAGGCAGTCCAGACAGCTTTCTGAGGGCATGGAATACAAACCTCCAGTGTTTCTAGGAAAAAGTCATAATTATTAAAAGAGTGGATTCATACAGTCGTGAAAATGATTTTGTTTAGGTACATCTGACGTTGGACTGCAGCACAGGCAGTGAAATGCGTATTTGCTTGCGGACTGGAATAAATTAGGTACCCCACTAAACTGCCACGTATAATGGTTTTGTTCGTATCTGTGTTCTGAGGTGATCGATGTGAGGAGGGAGTTATTTCACTCCTTGCTCAGTCCACGAAGGAATAAGAGGGGCTGAGTGTCGCTCAGTGGTGAGAGCTGAACGGGACAAAGACCTGTTTGTGCCTGACTTGTACAAACCCAGATTTACCAGAAACCCACTCAGACCTACAGTCATCAGTGAGTGGAGTGCACCCAAAGGTACCGTGACATTTTCTGTTTCTGAAATCTGTGTTTTTCTGTGTGCGCTGCGTTGTTTAAAATATCTAAATATCCATAGATGTTACTATAACCAGTACAGCAATGTGTAGGGTGTATCATTATCGCTTCTCCTGATCGTGATTTTTTTTTTCAAAAGTTGCATGAAACTGGAGAACCTTTGAGCTAATATAGTTTCGTCACTACAAATTCTATTTTTGAAATGTGTAATTACGCTACTTTAACTACTATTTAATTTAATTTTAAATTAAATAGTAAAACGCCGTCTGTTCATCAAAAGGATCATAGGCAAGAGTGCGCGTTTTGCTGTAATCTAATTTGTGTTCGCGTAGGAAGTTGTACTTTTTCTTTTTCATTTACTTATAACACCAAAAACGCACATGCCACTGTCACAAACTATTTTTCTTTTCACTTAACGAAGTGCGCTTAGTCCCCAAAAATTCTTAACTCTAAACCTTTTTCGCTCTATACAGCTCTCGATGTGTAAATAATACAGACGGGTTGGGAGGTGGAAGTTTCCCAACGTCACGGTTCGTTATAATTAACAGTTTTCGCAGTTTCTCCGCAGCGAGAGAAAATGAAAAGTGCGGTAGCTGTCCTCGCTATCCTGGTTGGACTTCTGGCCGTCGGTGCGATTCCTTCCAGCCGCTTGTCCTGCTACAAAAAGGTTTTGGAAGACAGGAACTGCCACAATATACCCAATGGCATCGAGCTCCTCAGACCCATCGATAACGCCCTGAAGAATCACTTCTGGGAAGGGAAGGGGTGCGAGATCGTGTGCTACTGCAACTTCAGAGAACTGCTCTGTTGCCCAAGGTAAGCTCAGTTTCATCCAGTAGGGGGAAGAGTGAATCCGAAGTAAAACAGAGGAGCCCTTAGTGAGGAAGTGTTAGACGGCCAGGCGCCTGGTTGTGCTCTGGAAACGCGTCTTGCGACCCGGGTTTCTGGACCTTGTGAACACTACACGCATTGTCGCATTTATCATCCATAACTTTTCTGTTGCGACCTGCTTTCGCTGGTGTTCATGCAAACATGGTATTCGTAAGGACAACCGCGACAGACATTATTACCCTAAAGGGCGTCTATTTTGATACCCTGCTTTCATCTTTACGACCGCGCTAAAGTGACGTGGTAGTAACGTTTCTAGCCCATTACTAGTCACAGAACTAAAATGAAGGACACGAGCTTCTTTTATGCTCCGCCGACGGTAAATGGTCTTTGGAAATATGCATGCCTTTGCAACACCCGTCTTCTGTTGTTGTTGTTGTTGTTGTTGTTGTTACGGAAGTATATAAAACAAAATGTTTCGAAAAGTGGCGTGCAGAGAGAAAGCCCCCACCCCCATTTCAGTCCAAAACACCGCGACACCGTAAAAAAGACACCAGCTTGCTCAGATAAGCGCCCCTGACATCTGTTGAGTCAGTCAGAACACCGTTGTCGCTAACGATTTGTGGCTCAACTGTTCCAGGGATGTTTTCTTTGGGCCCAAAATCTCCTTCGTGATTCCGTGTAACAGTCAATGAAGAGAGAAGCGCTGGTGACGAGCTGAGATGGCAGAGGAAGAGATCATGCAGGAGGAAAAAAAAGAAACACGACTGTTCCAACGTCCCTGGTCACTTTATCAATGCGTGTATGGTAAAGCGGCCAGATACGTGCCAGATTGGATTAATGACATCAATGATTTGTTCATGTTCGACACTATGAAAAGTTCCTAGTGCCTCTGATGACTGTGATCGCGCAATATTGTTCGTCTTTGACTTATTTCTTGCTGGCATAAATCCAAGGTTTCAAAGTTAGGCTGGTTTATAAAGTCTACAGCGCAGACTTCATGTTGTAGTTGTATTGCAGGTATTAGCATCAGGGCAGTGTAAAGCACCAGAATACAGTAGGCTCGTTTAGAAATTGTTCTTTTAATCGTTTGAAAAGATTGCTCTAAAAGCAGAAATTCAGATTAGAGGTCGAGGGATGAGCCATTGTATCGTTCGATCGTCTTCACTGCTAAGCACTTAATATTATTCTGACGATTTTATCTTTCAATTTTAAAATAATAAGAACAGACGATCAGCAGTAAGGGGAAGAACATATTAAGAAATTGTCCTCTGATTTAATAAATCGTTGTATATTAAAGAAAAAAGCCATAGATGTTGTTGATAGTCTTTCATTCTTGATTTGTAATTCCAAGCATTGTAAGCATAGAGAATTTCCACAATTTTCTGCCTGTATTTTTTTTAAACTGACTTACTTGAGTGTTTTTTTTCTTTCGTCAAACAATAGTAATTTTCCAGAGCTAAACCTAAAATGATTATCCTTGGATATTATGCATGTAACAAGCTGGTGGACCTATTTTTGCAAACGTTTAAACTGTTAAATTAATTCTAATATTTATGCAATGTTCTTTTTGTAAAATTAACTGTCTATTATTGCTATTCTGTATTATACTTCTTAGAGCATTTTAGAGAGAGTTTGATAGCAGTGTTAACAGGATGTGAAACCAGATATGTATCTTTGCAACTGCACTTATTTCCTGCACATGTTAAAATAAGTCATCAGCTTACAGGCTGTTCATTAAATCTAATGTAAATCCTCACTTGGGTCTGACATCTCCTTCAGCTCCCTCCTCCTTCAGTGCTTCTACTGCTTTAATTAAACGCCTCCTGAATATCAGTGTTCTAAATAACTGAATTTTAAAAAGCAGCAGGTGTGAAATTATTTATTTCATCCTATAGGGTACTCTTCAAAAGGTTGCCTACACAAGACCACAAAGCTTCTGTGACTGCAAGAGAAAGGTGCAGCTTCAGTTGATCACATTTCAACAAAACAGTTTCAGAGATTTATATTTACCGATTCTGGTACGAGTATGGTATGATTCTAAAATCACACATAGTATTTAATTGAATACTTGCTTAACATTCTGAAAATAGGCCACGTTCACTCACCAGGGAACATCCAAACTCCCAATCTAATCAATAACAATGTACTAAAGACACAACATTTATTTCAGCAGTATATAGTGACCCCACATTACACTGTAATATCTCAAACTAAATGTCCAGAATAAGTAAGAAGACAATATAAGGAATCAGGCCAGAATAAAAATACTGTGTGAGGTGCACAGTAAAGTGATAATCAACCTAATAATGCTGAGCTGTACACACTTCCACATCAGAAATGACTAACTAGCAGCTTAGCTTTAACAAGTTCTGTGAATCCTCTGATTTAATCAAATGTATGCTGTTGAATTAAAAAAAACTAACTAACTGATACCTTTGTATAGATCATGGATGTTTTGCTGTATATAATATAGCTAAAGCAAGTCACAGTTTATATACATCTACTGTAAAACATCTGGCCAGATGGCGTTGTAACTTTCAAAACTATTATTTGTAAATTACAAGCTAAAATTGAAACTAAACTTGTTTTATCACAACAAATTTTACTTTACTAATTCATACAGGTATATGCTTGTATAGCAGTTACAATGTCCATACTAACCATTTGGTACTTACATGATGTTTAAGGATAGCCTTGGAAGGTGTTTGAGGATTATTTGGTGTGTCAAACCATTCTGCCATATCCCAACACATGCATCAGTTACACTTTGATTAACTGGCCCTCACAGCCTACCAGATGAATGCTTCATTCATTGAAGGACATTTACAGATCTTTTATTGAGAAAATGGCAGCCCAACTTAATTACTGCAGTTCTCTGTACCATCTGTCCTGTTTTTGGGTGCAGGACATTTCCAATCTCCACTGCCATGGGCGAGAAAAATCTGGAGAGAGATTATACCATCCATCACTATACCTGAATGTATTTTTGGTTGTTTGATTTAATCTCATCTGTTTGACACTTGACATACTGACACTGCCACGTTATGTCAGTGTTGTGTCATGTCCTGTTATGTTTACTTTGTATTGTTCTTTTCTTTTTTTTTGCTCAACAGGAGTGTAATCCTCTAGGTCAGGTCATGATTGGAAATGAGAATTTGTTCTCAACTGATTTATCTAGATGGATAAAGGATTATTCACTTCAGAAGTCAGGAAACGTGAAAGCTTTATCCCAGTGTGTAAAAAATGTAAAGATTGATATTGGTATCAGTATGAAAATTACACTGGAACAGAATAGCAGTGACAGCATGGTACATGGGTCAGAAATAATGATACCTGTGTACACCACAGTCAAGTACACCAGTGTCATGCTGGTGATTCCTCTGTGATCCATCTTCTGGATAAATTATTTACCTTCACCTCAACTAATGCACAATGTGATCATTCATACAACCTATGGATGTAAGATACTATTTCAACAGCATGAGGGGTTTTCAGACAAGTCCTTAGCCTTCAAAGGCAAATTTTATTTCTACTATGACTGATCCATTTCTAGGTAAATTCCATATTTACCTCTACAATGGAAGAGATTGTGTCCTCTGCCTTATTTTCTAATAAAAAAATGAACTTGTTCTAGTGTGATTCAAATCAAAACATTTTAAAGTGGCTTTGTAAAACATTTAAAGAAATGCCTTTTTTTCTGACAAGGAATACCTAATTGATTTGACATTTTTTTAAACCACCAGGGAACTAAGTACTTTACAATTGATCTTCCTTAGCAACCTGCTGGGTCTGTGATTTGCATGACAATGCTTGACTCATTCCAACCACTACCTCTCCAGAGACTCAAAAGAACATAAGAAAGGCTTCAAATGAGAAGAGGACATTCAACCCATCTAGCTTTTTTGAGAAGCTAGTAACTAATCCAAGTATCTGATCTTCTGATCTAAAGATCTCATCCAGCCTCTTCTTGAAAGAAGCCAGGTTATCAGCTTCAACATCACAGCTTCACTGGTAGTGTCTTTTCCTGCATTCCCACAAGCCTTTGCGTAAAGACATGCCTTCTGTTCTTCTGCTCTTCCACATAGTTTTTACTTGTGATGTCTGGTTAATATCCCACTGTTCATTCTGAAGAAGTCTATTGAGTTGATTTT